GTAGCACCTACGTGTAAAGTGAATAACTCAATAAAATTTCATGTCTCATAGAAAATGAATGTTAATTTTAAAGACGTTCTTTGTGCTGCAAATGTTGACCTTGTTGCGAAACAACGAAGATATTGAAAAGAGATAAAAAACCAACGGAGATTGAATTTCTATAGAATTTTAATTGAAATCTTGAATATCCTATGCATTGTCTAGTTTATAAGATTCAATGTAATACAATATATCGATACATGTAACAACTATTGCTTACAAAAAATAATGTATTTTTAAATTTACTCCTAGCATTGTTATTTTAAGTATAACTGTTTAACAATAATCAGTATATTTTATCTGTAATCGGAAAATTCTAATTAACAAAGATTTTTTTGTAAGCTTATTTTAATTTATGTATTGTTCATTGATAAGTATGACAACGGAACCATAATTGAAAGAAGCATACCAAATTTAAATATTCCTTTTTGATTTACTACACAATTTTCTTTATTTGCTATTTTACTCTTAGCTTTGTTTACAAGCCTATTCCTCTTCATCGTCGAAAATCATAGAATGTTTATCCAAATACCCAAAAATAAACTTAATAAAAGCTACCTTAATAAGACGACACTAAGATCCCTTACCGCCATATTTAAACGGCGTTGTGCAGCTGATCACATCACTTGTGTAACAGTTTTCGCGAGTCAACCCATAACACTTATTCAAGTTGAGCGTAGCGGCGGCGGCGTATCTCAACATCGGGCACGCGACATGGGCTCGGCCGTAGACTCGAGAAGGACGGCGCCCGCGCACGCCTCAAACATCGCGATAACACGTCTAACTTTCATACATTATGATCCAATTAAAAGCCACGGCTTTGTACAGATCGCTAAATAAACAATCTGTTTTATTGGTATCCGTGGAGTGTTCTAAACTCTGTTGCGTGCCGCTTTGAAAAACCTAACTTATTTTTGTTAGATGTTAGGGAATATCTACCTAATGCTGTAGTTTTTGAATTTCTTGAGTTTTCGCAGTTTATGTGTTTTATTTAGGTACGTTTCAACGAGCACAGGTAAACAAACAAACTTTAAATATTGTCTTGGTTTTTGTATTATTTTTTCAGAAATGTGATGGTGTTCAATAGTTACTTCTTCTTATATCTAATATATAAAATTCTCGTGTCGCGGTGTTTGTGGTTAAACTCCTCCGAAACGGCTCGACCGATTTTCGTGAAATTTTATATGCATATTCAGTAGGTCTGAGAATCGGATGTAATCTATTTTTCATCCCCCTAAATGTTAAGGGTAATCCACCCCTAATTTTTTTTTTAAATTTTAGATATATTTTTTTATGATACATCATACAAAAATAAATATAACCCAAAATTTTCGCCCTTCTACCACCAACCTCTATTTTTTATGGCGGTACGAAGTTCGCTGGGTCAGCTAGTAGGTATATAAAATTCTCGTGTCACAATGTTAGTTACCATACTCCTCCGTAACGGCTTGACCGATTTTCATGAAATTTTGTATGTATATTCAGTAGGTCTGAAAATCGGCTACTATCTATTTTTCATACTCCAAAGTGATAAGGGTTGTCCACCCCTAACCTGTTTTTTGTTATGGTTAATTTTTTTCTTTTTTTTTTTTATAATGTGGCATTAAAAATACATCTAACTCTAAGTTTTCACCCTTCTACCGCCAACCCCTAATTTTATGACGATACGAAGTTCGATGGGTCAGCTAGTTAGACTATAAACTGTTAAAATATTAAGAAAAAGACGAGAAACAACAAAATACTTTATTAAAAAGATTTTTTATCTAATCTTCTTTTCCTAGTCAAACCATCGTACAGTTAAATGTTTAAACATACAACTATAAAATGTTAACGAAATCTTGAAAATCGGGTTCATTCAGCGACCAAAAAAAACCATAATTAGTACCTCGGAATTATTGCTCCAGATATATTATATCTATTTTCAATCTGATATTATATTGATAACCATCAATATGATATTGTCAACTATCTACATTTTCATGTAACAATACAAGTTTAACAAGTTCTATTCGTAGTTTTCCATAAAATAGATACGCAACGCATTGTGAGAGAACTGTGAAATTGCATAGTTTGTTTATCTGAGCAAGATCAGACATGCTGTTGGAATCACACAAAGCTATCTTGATCTCCGTACTCTGTATAAGCAACCAATATCTGCCAATCTGTCAGTCTGTCGGCAAAGGTAAATCTACTGTGAAAATGCATTTATTTTACTATTCACGTGTTTAAACTAATTCTGTGTAAACTATAATATCAAATGTACCTATCTGAAAATTATGTAGCAATGCCTTCTTTTTGGTTTGAACTGCGGAGTAAGTGATGAATCGGTAACTAATGCTTATTAAATTTATAAAAATAACGTCATACTTTAGTTCAAATATTTGAAATATTATAAATTGAAATATATTTTAAATATTTATCTGTCAAGCTGGTCATCATATTTGTTTTAATTTAAACATTGTTATTCATTTTATGTTGAAACATTTTTATGTATACTTTTCAATTCTCAGCTAAGAAAGGCATTCAAGTGAATCATTGCTCCTAATTATGTTTATCGATTTATTTATATAAAATAGTGAGCACTGTACCTACATGTAGTTATTTTCAGGAAACTCTTAAGTCTATTTTTCTATACTGACGGTTTATTACCAAAGTAAATAGATGGGAATGTGATCTTAATATTAATTTATATTCATTCCCCTACTTTTCTAATCTTAGCTACGTAAATTCAATGCAGACTTTCATAGAGAAAATGCTAACTAAAGAAAGCTATTTGACTTTCCACTTTCCAGCCAATTTAAATTGATGGCTTTAAAATCTGAGCTATAAAATATGTCATGAGAAGACATTGCAATCAACTATTATTTTACTATAAAGAAGTTGTTATTATATCTACAAAAATATTTATTTAATAGATGTACTATGAAATTAATAATTTGAATGAGTGTCGTTAAATTTGATTCATCTAATGTAATCATTTTTTAGTTGAAAAAGGTGATTGAGTTAACATTGTTGAAATCAAGGAAAAAACTTACAAGCTTTAGCGAATTACAACTTATAAGTGGTAATTCACCAACTTCTTCAACTATGCTTCTACTAGGTCATTGTAATATCATAATTCTGATACTTACTATAAACAATCCACAACGAATAAAATAAGTCAGTGTAAATAATTAAGTATGTTTTATATAAGATACCTAAACTCTATTCTTTCTGAAAAAGTTAATTAAAATAATTTATTGGGTGTGCTAAAAACAAAGAAAATCTCTTAATACTAAATATTTATCCAAACATGTGAGTGAAGAAACACAATTACGATAAACTTAAGAAACACGTTTTCGAGATGATGGTGACTGATGGAGCGAGCATAAAAGCCTTTGAGGTGGCTTTTAACGAATTTGCCTCAGGCGATCTATTAGCGAAACTCAACGTAAACATACCGGTGGGCATCAAATGAATGGGAGGAACCGTCGATCGTTAGATACGGACGGCGAGCCCAATGTCGACTCCAATGCCACACATTGTTACTTCTCGGAAGGAAGCGAAGCCTTTGTTGCCAGTGATGTTAAGAAGCAACCCACTTTTATATGAGCAGCGGTACCGTGTACGTATCAAATAAGCGTTGCGAACTTAGCTGCTGGAGTAGAAGTTGGAGGTCGCACTCGTTTGAATTGAATCATCAATACAAATCATGCGGAATCTAGAGGGCGATCAGTATCAAATTTACATGGGGATTTCCAGACATTTCTCACGTAGCAATTGAAGAAAATTTTAATTATTTGTGTAACATATTTAAAATACTGTATCTTATGGTGATGAACTTATAAAATTAATATAATCTTTTAGTGCAATAAAGTTTGAGTGGTAAAAGTAAAATATTTGAATCTTTACATAATAGATATTAACGGGATTGTGCCCACGTTTACTCCACGTTTTACTCCGGAGTAACTCCGTGATCATGGCGCTTGCAACAGTGCCGAAATATCGGAGACTCATAAAAAACAAGGTACATGGTAACAATCCCGTTAATAGCTATAATGTTAGTGACCATGAAAGTTTAAAACAATATATCTTTACATAAGTTTATAGGATACTCAAAGATCTCATTAAAAGTAGCACACAATGAACACGATATACTTCAGACGAGCGGCTATTAAGCATCACCATGCGGTTCTCACCAACCACTGAAAGGGATACATCTATTTTGACAAATCGCATCCATTCGTTTTTGAATAGCGAGCTGATGAAAATTACCAACATCAGAAGAAGCTCAGCAAAGCTTTCACCGTGCTCATTGTTTCGTTTTATAATACGGTTACGTATAACTTAATCTACTGTAGAGAGTTTGACAATTGTATCAGTATCATTGATAGGATCGCCATTTTAACTTCCGCTTTTTAAATAACGCTTAAGCTTTGCGTCTATCGATACATCTTTCTTGTTATAACATCGATACGCAGGCATTTTTTTTCCTATTATTTGTAATGAGATTATCTTTTGTGTAATATATAATAGGTATATCGTTTAGCTGTTAAAAAGTCACCTATGTATGGGAAAAAACATCTTATCTCGTTTCTTATTTAAAATCAAGTTGTTATTAAAATACAAGCTAGACTAGAAGTCAAAACGAACATAGAATGCGCTACTTTTTTGGATGTATATCAAACATCTCAAAAAAACGATAGCCATAGGTTACAGATCGATTACCAACTAGATTGAAAATGGGGAAGTTTCTTCCTTGTTATAGTAGACTGCAGCTATTCTTCGTTAGTGTTGTGAAGTGAGTTGTCGAGATATGGAAATATGATTTTAAGAGTATTGTCTTACATGGTGCCTATTTCAATTCAGGCACTATTGTATTGGTGCCAGTCATTATGACATCAGAATTAGGTTCCGTGAAACAAGTTATTTTGAGAACTTGAAGAACTTGAATTGATTTCTTCCCTTTTCCGTTGTTTCAGTTTAGGGCCATTCGAGGCAGCGGCGGGTAGCGAGATGGTGTCCCGACGACGTATATTGTCGCGATCTCGCGACGACCTCACCCAGGCTGCACAATTAGAAGAAGAGGAAGATGTGTGGTATCAAAAAGACAAACTTTATAAGGTAAGGTGTTAAAATACTTTGTCACATTTTTATTTTTCTCAAGAACCCACATTTTATGGCCTTAATTGCCCGTTGTTCGTCTGGGTCCATAAACCCGTAGATAAAAATTATTTTCTGTGCCTCTGGTAACCTACTACTTCATGTAGAAGGCGATTAGTTTGAGTATTTAAAGACACAATTGCTAAATTCAGTATCTAACAATCAATTTACTGTTATATCTTCTTTATAAGTAAGTACGTATCAGATTATAGGAATTCCGAAATCTTTTACGTAACCGTTTTAACGGTTTTGACACAAGCAATAAAAGAGTCGAGAAATCCTCCAAAGCAGAAGTTAGAAAACGTAAAAAAATATCTAGATGCATCGCGTGCAATATGTATAGTTATGTCACGGCAAGGAGCTCACGCGATGAACGCGACAGATGTAAGCGAACTCCAGGCAGGGCCGCGAATGTGCGTGATGTGAAATTTGTGAAACTACGCAGACGGATTATGTAAAATATTACAGACACAGCTCTGTATTACCTATGAACCGTCACGGATGCCAATCTATCCGAATAAAACGATGTAAAGAATATGATTGTAAGCTTACGAAGTACTGCTTAGCTTGTATAGAAGATATTATTATACACTCTCAATTACCGTAACTCGTTGTGGAGTTCGCGGATCGGTTAATTTTATCACTTATAATACAAAAGCAAATGACATATTCTAGGAGAAAGCCACCGTCACGGTTGCAACTATTATGTCAAGTTATAAAAGAGAAATTTTGCAGTAATGTTTAGTTTTCACTAATCGTAATAAGTAGCTTAAGTTTACCAATGTATTTTACAGAATTTTCCATATCATCGGAATGGTTCTTAAGTCGAAACCATTATGTCTAGTTGTCAAAGTTCAATAATGTCTCCCATTGAAGTGCCGCGTATTACGTTTTCCTTTCCTTTTTTTTCTGATGAGTATTTGTAACCATTTCCGAGTGTTTACAGTGATTAAGGACGTGAGAATATATCGTCCGTAAAACAACCGCAGTGACGTGCACCGTTTTACATTTAGCGTCGATGTGTCCGAAGAAAGAAGCGGTTGTTTAATTTTCATCGATAGCTCTTGGCTGCTTACGTTTGCATAGTTTTCAACTAAAAGAGCATTGTATTTTATTTTTCTACTACTAACGTAACAGCTACGAATTTGCAAGAAAGAATCTTCACGACTCTCACTTTATTTATAGTTGTCATCGGCGCCCCCATTCAAGCCATCATAAAAAATTGGGGATCACATTTTGAAATGCTCAAGTGAAAGTGTTAAAGATGCGCTAAGACATAAATATGATGATGGAATACAGTTGTTAGTTGTTTCTGACTCATTGTTGAAAATGGATATGATGTGCTCAAGCTGACGGGTATAATTTTCCTCATATTAAATTGACAACTATTTTTACAAAAAAGGTTGGAACGAATTGACAATATGGGCAGTAGTCATCCTCAATTAAACACAATAAATTGACCCTTTTGTTTTTCTGGTGTTTAAGCTTGTCTATCACTTGTTCAAGAGTTTATTACTGGACATTGGCCCCTCGTTTGACACTAGCGAATATGTGACGACACGTTTGATTGTATCAAGCGCGCCGTCTGGTATGCAGAGGCGTTCCGTTATGGGCGTTTAGATCTAAAAAATGAAGGTCAAAGGTATAACCTCTGTATAACCTTTCACTCTGACTTTATGTCTGATTCCTTAGCCCTTCAATCTTCACAACTCTGGAACTCTCCTTGACTCCATTAGAAAGTCAACAAATCTGGTTCTTCTGGAAAGCTTTCCGCACTAACGTTCAACTCATTACAGTAGTCCTTTTCAGTGTCATCATCGACATATTTTATATGTAGGTATTGTTTATATTGTATTGTATATATATGTATTGTGTACATGTATATTTAACTGTCATAAACAAACATATAGATAAGTACTTTTGTTATGCTATGGTTATATTAACTAATTACTTTATTTACTAAAGCCGCATTCGTGTATTTCTGTTTCCTAAAGGTTGACTGCTTTTAACGTTAAGTCCGCATTTTGTCCATTTATATAGTTGTGGCAATAAAGTTTAAATAAATAACCGTACATGTCTTAAAAGGATAGATAAAATTTATTAGTCCCACCTCTTTTGTGTTTATTCTGCGGTTTTGCTATTGGTAAATCCAATCGCATTGTTAGTTCATATAGCACGTATGCAAACAGTGGGTGTTCCTAATGTTTGTCCTGGGTATGTTACGTAGTGTATGATACGTTTTGACTTTTAAAATAGTTCGTTTCTAAATATTCGCCGACCGGTCAACTTATGACCCATTGATCGAGATCGTGACGATAATACAATAGCGTGTTACGACATTGCAAAGAAAACGTGTACAGACGCTTACCCATCTGACCTTACTAAAATCGCAATGTCAAGCTCGTATAATAGACTCGATTTTTCTTAACTTTATATTTGCTGTCATCCTCACAAGACGAAAATGGGTATTTCAAATCATAAAGACGAGAATAGGTACCGTTTTTTAAACTTATTCAAACGAAAGTGCTTGGAGCTGGATAGGTAACGGGATTTAACTTTTCCAAGAAATGTAAGGATTGGCGAGAATGGAGGATAGTACTAGACACGTCTCTATGATTTTATTTTAAATCTTCAGTGTGTCACGACATACGATAAAATTAATTTCATTGCGAGTTTTCCGTCAGGGCAACGAGGAAAACTATTTAAAAATTGATATGTATAGAAAGACTAAGCATACGTATCTCTTCGGTGCCATTGCACTTAATATGAGGTATAAAGTAATTAGCTAAGTCTCACTTTATTATTTTCGATTAAATTGATATTGTACCAATATATTACCTACTAGGCGCCGCACTCAAGAGTTAAATCAAAATTTAAGTTTGATTAAAATTGGTGCTATGTGATTGATTAAAATGTGCGATTTAATAAAGTCTTAAATTTAATTGACATCTTCGAGTGCGGCCATTTAATTGCCCAGTTTGCAATAAAATTATAGTAAAATTAATGAATAATTAAAAAAAAAGCAAAAAACCCGACTGCTTAATTATACTTTAAATAAAAACTGAAAAGAAAAAAACAAGTCCAGTAGTCTTTAATTCTGTTAATAAGGAACAAAGCTACTTTAACAGTTGGGACCCATTAGATATTCAAGAATAATAATATTTTTCAACAGTGGGTCCCGACTGTTAAAGTAGCTTTGTTCCTTACTAACAGAATTATAGACTACTGGACTTGTTTTTTTCTTTTCAGTTTTTATTTAAAGTATAATTAAGCAGTCGGGTTTTTTGCTTTTTTAAATTTACCTTTTTTATTTCACACTTTTTAGTTAGTTAGTATTTTAGGACGGTATATACCGTAGTCTTGTTACTTCAGTAAGTGAATGAATATTGCGGGAATTATTAAGTACCTTGCGTCGGTCTAAAAGATTGATTTATTAAGACATATAAAGACTTTACCAGCGGGGTCAAGGCTACAGATGCGCCTAAATTTTCGCAAAAATGTGTGAAGTTAAATCAAGTCGTTACATAAATATCTCTAATGTATGTAAATTTTATAGTAAACTAGCACTTACTCAAAAAGTCATCTTTTGTTTATGTTTTTTTTAATAGTTTAGCAGTAAATATAAAATTCATTTACTTTTATTCGTCGACTATTTAAAATTGGCAGTGGCTGCATTGTCATGTCAATGCCGGACGTCTAAGATTGTGATATACACAAATTCAGTGACAGTCCCTAGTCTCATAATTTGATATACCTACATAATTCACAGAAACCCAATATGTAGATGCCAGAAGTTAACTTCAAATGTTTTTAATCACCCTATATACAACACCAATCAATGACGTTTATGTCGCAGGTTGAAGAAAGAAGTAATTCCCGTCTGTTGTTTTGGACAATGGTGGCAACTGCCTTAGATCACTAAATTAAATAATTATGCAATCACCAAAGCAAAGTTTATAATATTTTATTAAACTAAAGGCGCATAATAAAATTTTCATAACGTTAGGTAGAGCACCATAGCAATCTCATTTATTATCAATTTATAGTTCTCTTTGTAGTTTTCTTTTAAAGCGTTCACATTTAACAGGTCAAAGACTTTGTGGTCGACCCTTTTTTATTGGTCGTGTAAAGCTCGAATGAAGAGTACTCCCAGTAGTGCAATCATGGCAATTATTTTCCAATTTTTTTTTGTTTAAAGAAATATTGAATAACTTACTGTTAAACACAAATGCTAAGTAACTTTTACAAATATAATCAAATAAACGTATTGCTTACTTTATTTTTAAATCTTTTTCATCAATTAAATACTTATCTTATTCTAACTATCTATACGATTATTATAAAGAGGCAAGATTTGTATGTTTGTAACAAATAATCTGTCAAACTACTAAACCGGTTTCAAATATTAATTCAACATAAGGTAGCTACATTATTTATTATAACATTTTTCTTTATTTAAATACATTTTGTTCGAGTATCATAGGCTATATTTTATCCCGATAAATAAATTTCGCCCGTACAATGCCCGGGTGGATCACTAGTAAGTATAATATAATATTATAGATGCGAAAGTGAGTTTGTTTGTTGCGCTTCCGTGCCCTAATAGCTAAACCGAATATAATGAATTCCCATATAGAAGTAGATGGGAACTTGGTTCTTAGCTACAACATCGCAATACTTATAGGCGTAGGGTGATGAAAGGGGTGATTCACCTATAAAAATCTACATTATGTAGATTTAGTTAAAAAAATGAAAAACAGTAAAATTCTGAGTTTTTCATTTAAATTCAATAATCATAAATACCTATTATGATAATATATTTTTCATCATTTAATAAGAAGGAACTGTATCACAGTTTTATTGTTACTACTTCGTATAGGATCAGATACTGCGAATACCCAATTTTTTTTCTTTTACATAGTACACCGCGCTATCACTTTGTCATCGTTGTAACTTTTTAA